TATGGATCCGCACGTCTCACGTCTTGTCAGCCCCGTTACAGAATACTCGGCCACACAAGGATCCAGCAGCTTCTTGGCCCCCGCACTAGGTTACGTTCACAAACGTCAAGTCACAGTTGATCGTCATGAGGCAAGTCAGGTCACAGTTGATCTTCCTCAGTCAAGTCTAGTCACCGCTGATCTTCCTGAGTCGAGTTTAGTAATGTCAAGTCACAGCTGACCTTCTAGAGTCTCGCCATGTCTCAGCTTTTCATCCAGATTCACGTCGCATCACAGCTGTTCATCCAGAGCCTCGTCACGTCTCAGCTGTTCGTCCAGAGTCACGTCACGTCACAGCTGACCTTCTAGAGTCTCGACACGTCTCAGCTATTCATCCAGAGTCTCGCCACCTCCGCTAGTCATCCAGATGCACGTCGCATCACAGCTGATCATCCAGAGTCATGTCACATCCTGTCTGTTGCACCCAGATTGTCGGGGTCGGTCCGTCGGTATCCCAGTCTGGTGTCCAGTGTGAGGGATGCACCTGTTCCGTTCCGGCCAAGGAGGCCGTCTATGAACTCTCTGTCTATCCTGTCACGACTAAGGAGACTGTTTGCGAACTCCCTGTTCGTCCTGTCACAGCTCTAGAGGCCGTTTGCGAACTCCCTGCTCGACTCCATGAAGATCTTCGCCTGTTTTCCTGGATTCTCCCTTTTAGCCTTGCCTCTGTGACTCTGTCTGCCAATCGTCGACCCACGCTAGCCCTAGGATTATTCTTGTGTCTTGCTCGCCATATACCTGTTTGACCCTGCCTGTCTTATGACCATGTCTCTGTCTTCTCCAAATAAAGCTTTGCTTATGGATCCGCACGTCTCATGTCTTGTCAGCCCCGTTACACTACTACTGGTAATCAGTAGTTTTATATTTAAATATATTTCCAATTACATATTTGAAATGTTGAAGCTCAGTACATTTAAAATATATTAATTCAAATGTAAATTTTAATAACACACTACAGGTAAAATTTTAACATAACATAACATATAATATAAATGTATAACTATTGTATGTTATAAAAATAACAATTATATAAATATAACAAGTATAGTGCTTTAGAGCAGTGGTTCCCAACCCTGGTCCTGGAGGCACCCCAACACTGCACGTTTTGCATGTCTCCTTAATCAAACACACCTGATTCAGGTCATCAGCTCATTAGTAGAGACTCCAAGACTTGAAATTTTTGTGTCAGAGAAAGGAGATATGCAAAATGTGCAGTGTTGGGGTGCCCCCAGGACCAGGGTTGGGAACTACTGCTTTAGAGCATGACAGAAGTTTATTAAAACAATGATTTCAAATGTATTTTAAAGTAAAACCTTTTAATTATTACAAAATTCACTTTTTAAAAGTGTGCTTAAGTGTGTTAGAATTATGAAACAGACAAGAAAGTAAATTTAGCCTTTCCTTTCCTGAATATTATATTATCTGAAAGTACAGGTTTTTAAGAATATACTTTCAATATTTGAAGTACACTACAAGTGCACATTCAGTACAATTAAGCACACTTCTGTGTCACAAGAACAACTGTCCATAAAGCAGGGAAGACCATCTGTATGTACACCATCAAACCAATCCAGGCCTCAAATTCTCAATATTAATGTTTTTGGTTATTTGTGCCGAAGAACCTGCAATGTTTCTCATTAACAGTGACTCTGCTGATTAAAACATTCATCTAAATCCGTTGCTAATCTGAGCAGCTTCCCTTCTCCTGCGGCTCACTCGGACACTTCAAATTAACCTTACAAAAGAAATTTTGCAGAGTAGGACATCCCTCACACAATCTGCAATTCCAGCATGACACTGGATTTATCCACATCACTAATTAGTCCATACACAGATGTGCAGTTTAATCACCACTGCCTTTGCCATGATCCTGTACCTGCCTGAGCAAATATTGACCGGCTTCTCAGAATGATAGTAATCAAACATCAAGTTCTCTCCAATTTGTCTGAACAGGTCCGTGAGCAAACACTCAAGCATTGCATGCACTGCATGAAGTCATGGAGACCTGATCGCAAGAATAAAGCTCCCATGATGCTGGGAAGATAACGTACTGGACTAAATTCTTGATGTATCTCATTTACTTAAGGATAAGATTTATTTTGCATGGATTAAATGAGCGTAGGCCGTGGAGGCCCTGCTTTAACTGACAGCTGTTAATCTGCATTACGTTGCTAGGCAAGGCCGTATGGCAGCAGGCAGGTAGGCAGCAAGCAGGTAAACAGTCTCATACTCCTCCCTCTTTATCGCTCTCAGGCCCCTTAACTACCCGGACATGGCCATCTCCACCCCCTTTACTCGCTTCTGCCAGCCTGCTGACAGCCAGTGTTGTGCATTACAACTGCGTGGCTCATGTTGTGCACTAAATAATAAATAAAGACCACCCCTATTGCACGCATAAAGGGCCAGAGGGCAGATTCAGTGGAAGCAAAAAGCGTGCCTGTGTTTATGCCACACTAAGCTATGAATACATCACTAATAATTGTGCTTGGCCTGTTCTGGTCTTATTGTCTCCAAACAAGGTGAGGATTATTGCGGGGATAGCAACAGTGCACTTACTCCACCACCACAATAGGCGTTAGGAATTGAGCTATTCACACCTACAAGTGAACGAGCGACTCCTTATGCGTCCCCAAACAAAAACAAACATTAGACTATTCACACCCCATGATAATCCACTACGGTCATTTATGTTGCTACCAAAATGCACATACAAATGAGTGGACTGGAAAATGAACAAAAGCCTGACCGTGAATAATCCAATAAGCCTCGAATGATTGTTTGTGCATTTTTAAAGCAGCATGTGACACGAAAGGCTAAATGTAGGAAGCGTCTGCCATAAGACTGCGAGTCGTATATATACATATATTACATTTTGTGAGTTTGAAATGGAATTGTGAAAACTGTAATATAAGACAACAGAAATTTTACAATCATGATAGGACAATGTGTGCTTTTGTTAAAACGTTACGAATTCCATTTAACAAAAACAAACAAAAAAAGAAATAGCATCTCACAAGTTAATTAGAAATAAGTAATAAAAATAGTTTGAAATGAACAAAAATATATGATTTTGTACATTTTAAGGTATATATATATATATATATATATATACACACACACACACACATATACATACATACTGTATATACCTTTGTTTGCTAACTGAGGTTACAGTGGGAATATATTCCACTGAAAATTTCAAAATGGAAGTGAAAATTTCCAAATGCAGGAAGTAATCGCCACGCTATTTCAGAATTACAGAATTAAAACCAAACCACAGTCCTACTCTTTCAAGTTCTATACCACCTTGCTACTTGAAATAACCTTAATGTGCAGAGAAAGTTGTTTTTTGCTCTAAGTCAACAGTCGTCAATAGAAAATAATAATTTACAAACAAATATTTAAATGACAAGTTTTCCAGAGTATCCTTCCATCCTACTTTTTAGACATGTATGCAACTTTGAATGACATTTTAGGTTAAATAAAAAACGTTTATTTTACTGCAAATTTTTAACTCTAGAAAAGTATTTAATTAGATGACATCCCAAAACATTGTCTGCCTTTGGCTTAACCTCACATTTTTTGGCCAAAAAAAATAAATTCTATTTAAAGTTTTAGTGTGTAACATTACTGCTGCCATTCATTCAAAAATTAATAAAAAGCATCTTACCAGGAATTATTAGAAATATGGTGAACATGAGCAGAAACATAGAGACTCCAACACATTCCATTTCTGCTATATAATCTCTAGAGGCTGTGTGACAAGAAAAGGGAACTGGTGACAGTATTTGCCAGGGAAATGAGTGAAGCTAGTTGAGGCCCCTCCCACGTGCCATTTGGACACATACACCTGGTCGATCTTCCAAAACACTGCTGTTACCCTGAGGGCCAGAGACAGTCTCACCGATACACATTCACTGCAGATATACACAGCTTAAACACACAGTGTCAGATCACATGAGGAAAGTTCACTTGAACAGTTGCGGTACACACACTCTGCTACAGGTGTGAAACCAGCGCAGACTGACATTCAAGTTCCAGACAGACACAGGGTCATTCAATGCACGGACATGCAAAGTTTCGCCTGAATCCATGCATGACTTAAGAAACAAAACAATGTTTTCAAGAATCATCACACACAAAGTCGGAGCAAAGCTTGAGATAAATAGCCAGAATTTAAGTGTCATTAAAGTCCACAGCTAGTATTAAAATAGCACTTCAAAAGGTCATTTGCAGAAATACTACCTAATCAAAAGGTTAAAGGGGTCATATGATGCGATTTCAAGTTTTCCGTCCTCTTTGGAGTGTTACAAGCTGTTCGTGAATAGATAAAATCCCTTAAGTTGCAAAGACTAAAGTCTCAAACCCAAAGAGATATTCTTTATAAAAGTTAAGACTGGTCCATGCCCTCCTAAAACGCCTCGTTTAAACACGCCCCCACATGTCTATGTCACAATGTGGGAAGATTTGCATAAAGCCGCCCAAATGTTCACACAAAGAAAGAACTAGGCCTAACTTTATTGTTGCTGCCACCGCCATGTCGTGAAGACGCTGTGTGTTTCGTTGCGAAAGCGAAACTATTTTGTTTGGCCTTCCAAAAGAGGACACGACTAAAAATCTGAAAGATGTGTGGAGCGCATTTTATGGAGGACTGTTTCCTGATCCTGGTGGAGTAGACTACAATGCCGGCTGTTCTGACTCACAGACTGTAAGTAAGTTTTCATATTTAAAGAATTTGCCACTGACGATTCAAACGCGAGTTTTGAGCAGTGTAGAGTAGCGCTTGTTGTTTGTCATTTCTCCGATCACAAATGCAGACATGGTTTTATGTTTACGCGGCACGATGCAATGCAACGCATAAAAAGACAGTATAAATCATTATAATCCGTAATTATGTCCCCACTGGATGCAACAAATGCCTAGTTTATAATGGGTTTTATTGGTTTTGTCTCGTCGCGCCGGGATACGGCATCACAGTATGGTAAGGGGCGTAACATTTCCGTCACACGCTTGAGGTATTCGGCCAATCACAACGCACTGGATACCTGGCCAATCAGAGCACACCTCGCTTTTCAGACCGATGAGCTTTGTAAAAATTTACGCGTTTCAGAAAGGTGGGGCATAGAGGAGAAACAATAATGTACAGTATGTGGAAAATAATGTTTTTTTTTTTACCTTAAACTGCATAAACACATTTCATTACACCAAATACACAAAATAATGTTCTTTTTAGCAACATCATATGACCCCTTTAATAATGGGGTTCATAAACCGCAGATTAACAATAATGTATCATAGGATTAATATATATAAGCACTACTGTTCAAAAGTTTTCAGATATTAATAGGTTAATTCAGCAAGGACACATTAAATTGATCAAAAGTGTCAATAAAGACGATGGTGTTCTTTCCAACTTTCTATTCATCAAAGAATCTGAATTTTTTTTTTTTTTAATTATCAGTTTTTACAAAAACCATTATAAGCAGCACAACTTTTTTACATGAGTAATAAAAAATTCAAGATTTGCCTTCACAGGAATAAACTGTTTTAAAATATTTTAAATGGTCATAATATTTTACAATAGAACTGTTTTACTGTATTTTTGATCAAATAAATGCAAACTTAGTGATCATTAGATACTTATTTAAAAACATTTAAAGATTTTACCAACCCCAAACTTTTGAACAGCATCAGTTTAGAACTTTGCATATTAGAATTGTATGCAGTTTTACCTTCTTTTTTTGTGGTGTTTTATTGCATTACAATGGAGAACATATTTATTTGATCCCCTGCTGATTTTGTAAGTTTGCCCACTTACAAAGAAATGAAGGGTCTGTAATTTTTATGGTAGGTTTATTTTAATGGATAGAGACAGAATATCAAACAAAAAATCCAGAAAAAACACATTATATAAAGGTTAGAAATTGATTTGCATTTCAGTGAGTGAAATAAGTTTTTGATCCCCTACCAACCAGCGAGAATTCTGGCTCCCACAGACTGGTTATGTGCTCATGTGGAACACAGATTAGTCCTGAAGTTACTCCTAATGTCAGCTCGTTAGGTGTATAAGACACCTGTCCACCGGCCTTGGTCTGGAGCTCCATGCAAGATCTTGCCTCATGGTGTAAGGATGATCATGAGAAAGGTGAGGGATTAGCCCAGAACTACACGGGAGGAGCTTGTTGATGATTTTAAGGCAGTTGGGACCACAGTTACTAAGCAAACCATTGGTAACACACTACGCCGCAATGGACTGAAATCCTGCAGCGCCCGCAAGGTCCCCCTGCTCAAGAAGGCGCAAGTACAGGCCCATTTAAAGTTTGCCAAAGAACATCTAAATGACTCAGAGAATGCTTGGGAGAAAGTGCTGTGGTCAGATGAGACCAAAATTTAGCTTTTTGCCATTAACTCGACTCGCCGTGTTTGGAGGGAGAGAAATGCTGACTATGACACCAAGAACACCATCCCTACAGTCAAACACAGAAGTGGAAACATTATGCTTTGGGGCTGTTTTTCTAGGGTACAGGACGACTTCACCGCATTGAGGGGCAAATGGATGGGGCCATGTACTGTAAAATCTTGGACGAGAACCTCCTTCCCTCAGCCAGAACACTGAAGATGGGTCATGGATGGGTCTTCCAGCATGACAATGACCCAAAACATATCGCCAAGGCAACAAAAGAATGGCTCAAGAAGTAGCACATTAAGGTCATGGAGTGGCCTAGCCAGTCTCCAGACCTCAATCCTATAGAAAATCTGTGGAGGGAGCCGAGACTTCGAGTTGCCAAACGACAGCCAAGAAATGTCAACAACAAAAAAAGGTCTTACCTCTGTGCTTGCCAACAAGGGTTTCTGCACCAAGTACTAAGTCATGTTTTGCTTGGGGATCAGATACTTATTTCACTCCCTGAAAAGCAAATCAATTTCTAACCTTTATATAATCTGTATTTTTCTGGATTTTTTGGTTGGCATTTTGTCTCTATCCATTAAAATAAACCTACCATAAAAATGAGACCCTTCACTTCTTTGTAAGTGGGCAAACTTACAAAATCAGCAGGGGATCAAATAAACATTTTCCCCACTGTACAATTAACAAATTGTGAACTCGCATTCAAAACTTGGGTAAAATATAGTTGTTTTGCCATGCCGCTGAAGATAAGTGCAGGAAACACAGGTTCGTTCTAATATCAGAGAAAGAAAACCATTGTCAGCTTCATAGGGAAACACAGAAGCATGAATTTTCTATAAATATTTATTGCAAATCAGTCGCATTTACAACCCGAAACCAGCATTTCTCATGCAGATCCACATCAGCACAAAGATACTGTACACAGGGCCGCCAGTGGTGTAAATGACCTTTATTTGGACTGAGAATCATCTGCTTAAAAAACAAACACAAACCTGACATAATGTACCCCACCCCCCTTTCAACTCCCCAACCACATGATCCTCTCATCCAAGTCGGCCACAAAGCCGCACGGTGCTAAGAAGCACCCACTTTTACGAGTCACTTTGACAAATATCTAAAGTTTTTTTCCCCCACAGTCCGGCAAGAGCTCAAGTCTCCATTCCCACTCCGAATTCCAGCTGCCTGTTGTGCAGGACACCACACTCACTAGTCCTTTAGTCCAAATCAAAGCCGGAAGTCTTCCTCTTTTTCTTTTTGCTGTGTTTCTTATGCTTCTTCTTTTTCTTTTTCTTCTTATACTTGTCCTGTAAATAGATAGAAGATTAAAAAAAACAGTCATTTATGAAGTTCTGTTTAGCGTATCCACTCTGAATAACATTTATGTAAGTGATGCGGGTAGCATGTTCAGTCATTTCCGCCCTCATGTGGACAAAAAACAATCTGCTTTAACTACGATACTGGTAGACTTACTGTAATTTTCTCCTTCTCTTCACTACTGTGTTTTTTCTTTTTGGACTCAGCCTAAAAAAAACGAGCACATTGACAGATAAGTTAAGCATGTCACGTGGTTTTTGCTGTGCTAAAACTATTTAATGACACATATTAAGGTCACAGAGCGTTTAAACACATTACATCTCTGTCTACATCAGACCCGTCTGAGGACTCTGAGTGACTCCTTTCAGCTTTCCTCTTCATTCGGCCATCCTTTTCATCCTTTCAAACAACATTTAATACATGATACGATACACTGCCGCATTGTTTTATTTTGTTCTTAAAAAAAGGTCTATTACACAAACAAAGGCTACATTTATTTGATCAAAAATACAATAAAAACAGTAATAGTGTAAAACATTATTACAAACTGAAATTTGTAGTTCATAGTAACATTAAAAAAAACACTTCAAAAACTCATGTCATGAAGGTAAATATAATTTTATAGTGTGATCTATTTCTTTAATGTCTTGAAATGAGTCTTGAGTACCTTGTCTATCTCTCCATCCAGTTTCTTCTTTTTCTTGGAAGACTCCTAGAGACAAAGGACATCAGGACTCAGTCTCACAAGTCTCTTCATTACCACCACAGCAATTCAGGTTTTTATGTTCATTTATTTCAGCACTGGAAATTAATATTGTTTCAGTTAAGCCAGATACTTCTTTAACTGGCAGGAACAATCTATTTAAACCGTGTCATTTTTTCCCCTTGCAGATAAACAAACAATACCCTGCTATCAGTCTCTGACTTGATGTCAGAGTCATCAGATGCTCGCCGGGCATTGGATCTTTTCCTCTTTTTCTTCTTTTTCACATTTTTCTTATCATCCTGAAAAGGCAGAAGAACAGAGAATATTCAGTGGTATGGTCATTTTACCAATGCATCCAAATAATGTACATATAAATATAACTACAAGCAAGACTTACATCATCTTCAGAGTCTGAGGAGGAACTGGAGGAGGAATCAGAACTCGATGAGGAGGAGGAGGAGGATGAGGAATGCTTGACCACACACAACAAAAGCAGAATTTGTTAGATTTTAAGTCACATAACACTGATCTGCCGACCCATGGATAACAGGCCAGATGGATACCAAATACTCTACAAATTCAAACCCTCCTTCCAATATGGGACATTATTTGAAACCAATATTCCACTTTTCCATTATCAGTTAATCTTTGGTTTACAGTTGCTTTAGATATGAAAATGGAGAGCTCTCCTCACCCTACTGGACTTTTTCTTCTTCTCCTTTTTCTGGAAAACACAAAGATAAATCAGGAAATTATAGATACATTTTAAATAGAACAACAAACCATAATAATAATAATAATAATAACAATAATTACATATTGTGATTGCCAATTTATCATAACTGATGTTGGATTAATGGTATTTGAGCGCAAAGTTGTAACACATACTGGAATATTTTCAAGCCATCCTCTGCCTTTATAAATCCCTATTTATTCCTCACTTTTGACATAGTACTTGGGATGAAATCCATAAAATATAGGATAAAACCTGACTGTACTTATATTTTATTAATGAGATCCCAGATTTCTACATTAACCCTTACCTCTTTCTTTTCCTTCTCCTTGTCTTTTTCTTTCTTTTCACCTCCACCAAGTACCTTCTCCCTGTTTTTCTCCAGCTCCTTCTTCCATCGCTGAGACAAACGAATTAAGGCACATAAGATCCAGAAAGCAGATCTGAGTCTATTGCAAATCCACTGACTCTAGTGAAGAAAAAAAACCTCTACCTTGTTCATTCTGTCTTCAAAATCAGCCAGGGCTCTGGAGCCTTTCTTTTTCTTTTCCAGCTGTTCTTTTACCTCCTCCCTGATATACAGAACAAACAGAGACACGCATAAAGAAATATGATCTTAAAAATCACATATATCCACAATTGATGCTTCGATTGTCTTCATACCATGATGGCCGTGGTCTGCTTAGATAATCCTGAATGGTGGTGCCATAGTTGGGAACAGGTCCTCTGGCTCTGGCAGCAGCTATTGGGTTCAAGTACGGCTGAAACACAATCAAATATTAAAATGCATAATCCATTTCATCAACAATCACAAGACATGCTTAATAAACACACCATTCAGCATCCACGTTTCACGTACAGGCTACTAAAATGAACGCATACTACATATTATTTCGCTTTGACAGAAAACCAGTTTAAAAAGACTAATGCATTGCTTTTCATATGCTCACCATAAATACAGCAGCAAACATTCTGTACAGCGGGACAGTCAAGTTAAATGTGTGCTAGCCGAATTAGCATGTCTGAGCCAGATAGCCACATACATTAGCCATGCAATCTCAGCAATACTAAGATTTTACAAGTTGTGCCAGCCTGCACAACTTACAACACAATTAATTATAACACATAACACAATTTATATCAAATGTCTAATAACCTTGTTCATTCATTCTGTGAGTGGACGTGGCTAATGTGTTTAGCTAAGTGTTTTGACGCGTTAGCACTGCGGCTTAAAGGCCTCTCGATTATTTTCCCTTGAAGTATTAGGAAGACACGAGTTTGTAAACTACCTTTACTTACCACTCTATTATCTCGCTTGCCCATTTCTGCAGATTTTGCCTAAAACCTATAGGCCCAAATCTATGAAATCAGCCTTTTGTTTACATGGCTCTGGTGCTTACGGTGGCTGCCAGTGTACTGCAAGGATTTCTGAATAATTGCCACCTAGCGGTTCATCAGCAGCACGCCGTGCTCAACATGAACACTAGAGGGCGCTTCCATCTCTTATGCTGGGTACACACTAAAAGATTTGTAAAATCGTGTAAGATACTCAAAATGTGAGAGACCACAAACATGAGGGGAAAAATCCTAGATTTAACTGTTTTGCTCCTATAGTGTGTGGTGTTTTCGGGGTTCCCCCCCACACATCAGGATTTCTGATAGTAAATATTCACCATGTTTCAGCGAGCAGATTCAGCCGCTCTTAACACACCTCACACCACAGGTAAATCTGATCAAATAATCTTTAGAACCACCAAGATAATCGAGAGGAAGGGGAGAAATCGGCCCAAAATCAGCCCGATTATCTCGTGGTGCGTAGCCTACCCAGCATTACTTGGGACTTTTAAAGTTAAAAAAATGCCAGTGAAGACATTTATAACGTTACAAAAGATTTCTATTCCAAGTGAATGCAGTTCTTTTAAACTTTCCACAAGTTTCCACAAAAATGCTGAGCAGCAGCACAATTGTTTTCAACAGCGATAAGAAGAAAAGTTTCTTAAGCAGTTATTCAGCATATTAAAATGATTTCTGAAGGATCATGTGACACTGAAGACAGGAATAATGGCTGCAGAAAATTCAGCTTTGTCATCAAAGGAATAAATTATTATTATTAGCCTTTAAATTACTTTAAATTGTAATAATATTTCACAACATTCATTTATTTTTGGAGGCTGTATAGCCTAAATGCAGCTTTGGTGCGCATAAGAGACTTCAATAAAAAACACTACATTTACATTTAGTCATTTAGCAGATGCTTTTATCCAAAGCGACTTACAAATGAGGACAATAGAAGCAATCAAAATCAACAAAGGAGCAATGTTATACAAACACTAAAAAAAAACATTACCGATTCCACACTTTTGAACGGTAGCATATGTCATAAAATGGCCAATTTCTGCCTGAACATAAGTTTTTACAAGTGATTACTTGTTTGTAGAACTATAAAATCAATTGTTCTGTAGTATCTGATATGCTGCTATATAGAGCTAATGATCTAAGGTTAAACTAATGTGATTCAGTTAGCCTATATCCCTAAGCCAAAGGGATAGGAACACCAATTCCTCAGACAGTTGCAGTTTTATACTGTGTACCTAAAAAGACAAGCCTGATTTTACCACAACCAATCACGAGAGGAAGTCCCTTATTGCATATTCTTCCCATTGCTACTACAATGCTTACATACAATGTACAATAATGACTTGATATTTAATAATTGATACTGACTGTGGGATTTTATCATCATTTAAGGTTTATAATTGACTATACTTTTTCTTTTAACACTGGCTGTGACCCAAGCTTTATCAAATTACCCCCTATTTTATTTAAAGTAAAATAATAAAACAATTATCCACATGTGGGAAGTTTGAGACTTAGGGAAGCGTTTTGTTCTCTCTCATCACAGAAGTCAATTTCACAACCCAGTTTTACACGCTGGAATATTTATTTTACAAAAATATGAAAACGTCAGGCAGATACAGATAGAAAACAAATGCGAAAGCAGCTTTTTTCTCTCAATGGCAGCAAATTGGAATCTTTAGGTGGGCCAGTTTAATAAAACTCATACAAGAGCCAGAGCCTAAGACAAACATTAGCAGCAAAACCAGTCCAGAAAAAAACAAAGATACAAAACACTTCCATATCTCATTCACCCTTATAAAAATAAAAAAAAAATCCTAATATGGTCCTATAAGGGCACAATGACCAACACTCTCATTTCAATTTGGTTCTTGCAAAAACTATTTTTTGCACTTTACTGACAACAGTAGCTCAATGAAATGAATTGATCAACACAGCATCTGCTTTAAATGTAAGAATGTGCTGTTTTAACAGAAAAACATAGCTTAAAAGAGATTCATTTGAAACTGAATTTCAGTATTTCATCATAAAAAGAAGATACATTCTACTTACTGTATGATTAACCATCATTACTGGACTAATCATGACTAGATGAACCAGACAAGATTTTTTTTAAAAACAAAATTAATGTCACATGCACGTGATCTACAGTACATCCACATGCGATTTCATTGCTTCAAAAATATAGATGCTAAAGCAGAACGCAAAAATGATTTAGCAGTAGAATTACATACAGTTGAGCAAGACTTTCAATCAAAGCATTGATAAAACAAAAGTTACAAATATTTTAATGTACACATTTTTCCATCCCCACATCTTACAACAAAGCTGACAACATAAAATGCCAAATAACAATTAAAAATGTACACCACAGATCGGGTGCTTACAAAAAAACATCACTCTCCAGCCAAAAAGAAAAGCCTGACCAACACTTCCCACTTCTAATCAATGTGCACAGTTAAAAGATGGCTAAAATAATTACTTTTTAAAAATGATTACATAAATCCATAAAACAAAGAGCAACAAATAAGAAATTAAAAGATATACATATTATGATTATAAAATAGAGATACATCCTAGAACATCAGAAATCATTCCACTCAGTTTACATATTTTTTAAAGAATAAGTAGAATGAACCAAATACATTTGATGCAGTCTAAAGTGATATAACACTTGATTATCAATGAATAAAATATCATAATTAAGCTGCTGATAAAATAACATTAAAAAGTCGTATTATAATGGTAATAACTGATTTTCATTACACGGTGTCTGTGCAGCAGCCAAACAGAATGAAAACATTGTGCACATTGATTAGAATATGTATTCATGGTGGATGATTTAGCATTTTACATTATTGTGATTTAATGGATAGAAATTTCCAGCTTTATGATTTTTTAATTCAAAGTATTCTCTGTCTGGAGTACATTATAAATTATTTAAGTCATAATGGGAGAACATGTAAAAATGGTCAAATACAATACAATAAAAAGAAACCAAAATATAATAATAGAATATTGAAAAAGACACTTTTATTGTTACTGTCCTCTTGGGAACAAGTTTGCCTAATTGATTACAGTTGTTCAAGTCTGCAGTGACATGAGGTGTAGCACCATTAGTTCATCACTGTCCAATCACAAATTTGAGTATTACATTGACAGAATGCCTTCTGAAGCAGTACAGCCAACTAAAAAAGACGAAATGTCAATAAATAAGAACAAAATGTAGGGAGCAAAACATTAGGTACCAATGTCCAGCAATTTCAAGCAGTCTCAAACTTAATTTGCTTAAAATGATATCAGATCACACAAATCAAATAGATTTTGAAAATGACTAATGACTAAGCAAATCATTTCAAACAACAAAAAAAGAAATCAACAGATTCACTAAAAAAAAAATCATGGGGAATGGACAAATATAAAAAAAAGCACTGAGATGGACAAATATCAAAGGTGCTATTTTTTTCAGCATGACAACACGCCAAAATTCAAATTCCATCACTAACAAGAATGGGTCGTACATTCCAAAGTCTAACATTTAATACATTTATAATGTTAAAACACTATGAATTATTCACCAGACTAACCAAGCTTAAAAAAACGGATTAGTTCTATACAAGACCCACAAACATAAAGGCATACAGTTACATTGGTTTACATTATTTGATATCTAATGCCCTCTGAAGTCACCAAATCCGATCACAGACTTATCTAGAGGAGGGTACAGCTGTGCCAGCGTAACGTCAGTTCAGTGGAGATTTGAAAAATGGTGGCGTTATACACCAATCTTTTGTTAGACTCATGTATTGAGACAACGAATAGCTGATCACAGAATATTTGTGAAATCAAACATGTTAACAGTACAAAAGTTGCCGCACGACAGTGAACTAATACATAAAATATAATATTAATATTATTATTAATAATAATATTATATAAATAAAAATAATAATAAATGCTGAAATGACCAACTGTATGTTTCATTACCTGTTCAAATTGATGGAAATGCAAGTGAACGATATAAATAACCCAATACTATTGTATCCGGATAGCATTGAGACCATAATCGATAAGGATTACTGTGAGATTAATGATTAAACTAAAACCTGAAACCTTGTTGAATCTAAAACTAGTCATAAATAGACCTGAGCATGGAATGTGACAGAATGAGTTTACTGATCCTGAGAGAATGAATCAAGCATCAGTGCTTAAAGGGATAGCTCACCCAAAAATGAGCATTCTTTTATCATTTTCTCACCCTCATGTCATTCCAAACCTGCATGACTTGACTTCTGCGGAACACAAAAAAAGACATTTTGAGAAAAGCCTCAGTGTTTGTTTTTGTTCATACAATGCAAGTCAATGGTAACCAAACCTGGTTGGCTGCCAACATTCCTCAAAATATCTTCTTTTGTGTTCCACATGAAAGGTTTGGAGCAACATGAGGGCGAGTAAATGATGACAGAATCTTCATTTTTGGGTGCACTATCCCTTTAACTGTGTGACTGTTTTGTAGTACTACAGTGCCTGTCTATAGCTCCTCATCCCTCATCAAACAGCTTCACCTGGAATCACCAGGCTAAATGCTAAATTCTGAAGCAGCGTCCTTCCTTCCCTCCCCTTGTTCGTCACACGCTAAACACAAAGGAACTGAAAGCAACCCATCTAGCGGACTTGGTGCACTTTTTGTGATGATCTATCCAGACAATTAAGTGAAACTGGAAATGGAAGGATGTAGCATTGCGTATAAAGAAAAGAACCTGGACTTAATCAATGAATTATACATGGGATTATACATTACTCTCCGAGCCTCGAACGAATCTCGCAACCTGACCTTGAACTTAACACTCGCCAACTCTATAGCTACTTTTACTAGACTTTCAGAACTACACGCTAACGCTTTCATACATGTATTTCTTTCTGTTATCCATCTTAGCTTGTTTCTGCTCTAAATCAACCCTAAATTCAACATGCAACCCGGCGCGGGTCATCCATTAACTACGTCTCGGCACTAAATCCCTGACGACAGGGTGCAGACTGTTTGGTATACGTATCAACGAGTTTTCTACAACAACCTACACCTTCAAGTTCACTAAAATTAAGACATAACATGCCAAAAAAATGTCAACAATCAACACTGACATAATAAAATAAGTGAACAGAATGTGGAATTTATATTGAAGAAAAAAAATACAAGTACATTATAATGTCAAGGAAATATGGTGTTAAATAGTGCTTCAAAGCATTTGGTAGCTCTGTCCTGGACGATTCAAATGACACCAGGATGCTTGTGATGAAATGCCATATTAAATAGAGTACTAGAGTGTCTGTGGTCATGCAGTCATCAGAAAAAGTCACACGAGGAGATGTGTCCACACTCTCCTGTTTTAACTCCGAAGTAACAATGTGATGGAAAACAATACAAAAAATCCTCCTGGCCTGTGACTGAGAGGATTTTGGAAGTGTGAGCTCAAAAAAAAGGTAATTAGCGATTATATCTTAAGGTGTAAAATAAGAGGTTCCGTTCAACGGGCCTGAATATGCAGTAGTTGTGGTTCTACATTTGCTTAATCCATATGAGACGGACACGGTCCCACGTAAGACCTTGCTGTTTTATGGCAGTGATGTGCAGCTAAGACTCAATTAAGTCCTTTGCATTGCATTTATGCAAACAGAAGGATGATCCCTGGCAGTGTCAAGATGCGGCTTGACATTTTCAACTGAGCAGGCAAACTTCCTTCGAGGAAGGTGGGTGGGAGACGAGAGCAGCTTCTGATATTGTTAAACACGTAATTCCAGGCAGCGTGTTGTTGATCCGTATTAGCGGGCAGTAGTGAGGGCAAAGACAAAACACGATCGACCAATAGTTGCGGTGATATTTTTAAAAGCAGCATGTTATGCTATGCTATGGAAGACTAGTTCATAGGGGGTCTTTGTCTACAGTGGGAAGCCACGTCTTTTCAAGCAGCTCTCTCCTCCAGGGAGGGCTTTTTGCTGGGGAAGGGTTGGGCGTACAGACTCTTGCTGGTGCTGTCGAGACTCTGGAAGTATGGGTGTGAGAGTGCATCGTAAGCTGATATCCTTCTGGAGGGGTTAAATGACAGGAAACGCTGTGCAGGGAGGAAACAAGAAGAGAAAACTAAGTAAAAACAGTCTATGGTACTTTTATATAAAAGTCATGTGCTATTTGTGTCCCTTATTTAAATTACTTGTTCATAACATAACACAGACACACACTCTATATACTGTTATAAAAAAGTAATAAACTGTATATACTGTATAAGTCAATTCTGTTACCATTTTAAGGAATAACTGCATTTAAAGATAACATTTTTTTTATTGAGTTACAATAAAATATTATTTGCGTGATTAAATATATTAAACTGGAAAAAGTATTGATTTCATAGAATGACATTCTACAGTAAGTGTCAATGTATTTAAAATATCTTCAGTGTTGATATCTGCTCCTTACAAGTAAAAGTGATTTGCCCAGCTCATCCATGTCAGGCACCAGGTCCTCTATGGGCTGGGGAGGGCGAGGGGAAAAGGCACTCTGTGGCAAGCCCACCTCCTGTGGCCAATCCTCTGGAGAAGGGACCCCCACCACACTGCAATATCATAATCAAAACAATCAGTCTCAATACAGTCTTATTAAACACAATTCTAACAATTTATTATAGTACTTACTCAAAAATCTTGCCTAACTGGTCAACATCAGAGTTCCCACGGAAAAGAGGTCTGAAGAAAGAGAAAGATTGCAGTTAATTGCATGATTCATTTTACAGCAATAACTAGACTTAAAAGGAAGTTTTGTATTCATAATTAAAAAAAACTATAAACTAAAATAAATTAATAAAACAATCAAACTTAAATACTGAAATTAATAAATTAAATAATCTTGAATAAAAAAATTAAATAAAATAACCAAATAAAGCTAAAATAATCTTGAGTAAATTAATAAATAAAAATAAATAAAACCAGAACTAAAATAACATTGAATCAATCAAACGGAAATTAATCAATAAACTAAAAATAAAATAAATAAATACAAATAAAATTAATAATCCTGAATACATAAGCGAATTTAATGAATAAACTAAAAAAATCTTACACTTTAAATAATAAGTAAATAGCTTACAGTGAATAGGTTTCACTGTACAAATAAGGCCCTAAAGCCACATAACAGACATTGGTCCACTGTATGCGTGTTGTTTCCTGGCCAGCCTGAGGCTGAGAAGATCTGAGGGCTTTTTCAGCACATGCTGGAGTCCACCCGCCTGGAGCGCTGCTGGTGCCTGTGACTTCAGTCCAGTCAGGACACCCGTGGGCGGGCAATGCTTCCCTTGGCATGCACACAAATTCCAGGAGCCACAAGCCCAGGCCTCAGTCTTCAAAACATACCACACAGAGTAAAAGAGAGCGAAAAAAGCTATATCCCCGCCGTCTGCTTTCGCTCTCCACATACCTCTATGTGAGAGAGCAAAAATGACTGAACAGAAGCATGGAAATAAAGATATATGTGATTTATGAGCTAAAATAAGCTCACTATCAAAGCGTTATGTCTTTGACTAAGCAGCAAAAACCGCACTTGTAATTCCCCCCGCTGCCACCAGATGTTGCCCAACAGCAAGACAAGCGCAACCGCTCTTTATTCACAACCACATGGAGCTTCAACTTGATCTCAACTGTAATCAGACAAAGAGCCAGAACCAGAAGTGAGCACGTGCACGTTTACTTAGGCCTCAGTGATGTTCAAACACCCTCAAGAAGACTAATTTAAAGATTAGTGAGAAACAGACAGACAAACCTCTGCATATTTTTCAGAATGAAGAATGTGACTTGCACTTTTCAACTCTACAGAGGCGTCTTTGTGCGGCTAAGATGCTGAAGATTCTTTACAGGTGAGACGGACGCCTCAGATGCTCCCGATACCTTTCACTTTGAACCCGCTTGTTAAAAAGAAAATTGCCATTATGCCTTTCACATGCCGCATCAACTGCTGAAGCCCTCAAAGGCAAAGTCAGTCCCGAGCAGTTAAATCAGACAAAAGCCGTTCTATTTTCTAACAGCGAGGGGGGGATCTCACCTAAAGCGGTGTCATGCCAAAACAAGTATGGCTGAAAATCTCTAAAGCACATTCTGCCTTCCCTTGGGCTACTTGTTAGTCTGAATGAATTAGTGGCTTTTTGCACAAGGCAGACATTATGCCGGGGCAGAGGCTTCCTGAGTGAGTGGGCACAGGCAGGCACACACCAGGCCAGTACACGCAGTTGAGTCACGCTCCAAGTGCCGGTGTCTCTATCCACATTCCACCCGCTCGACCTCTGGAATGCATCGGTGTATCTGAATCGGTGAACGCTGGCTCGCCGGAAAAGGAGTGAGTCAATGACGAATAATAGTGTCCACGATACAGAAAAGGAAAACTTTAGTTTATAACACACGTGCAAGATTCTTGGAAAAGCGTGTTCGTGTTGGTTTCATGTGGTTCAGGAAAAACGTTTTAAGAGAAATAGCGATTAAATTTAACCAACAATTCATAAATATTAAGCATTAATGGGTTATGGCACCATATTACTTTTAACAACCTGAACTAATAGGCCTAAAACATTTATAAATAATAATAATGGAAGTTTATGCCAAATTACTTAATACAAAATACTTACAGAACTTAAAGGGATAGTTCACTGAAAAACGAAAATTACCCCACACTTACGCTACGTCATCCGCTGCAACGCCACTCTGTCTTGAAGGTGCGTACGACTGTTAGTGAAAACTAAAGATTAAGGTTTCTAAAGTTTTAAATATGGATATTTTTCTTTCACAAATGCATTACTTCACTTCAGAAGGCCTTTATAAACCCCCTGGAGCTGTGTGGAGCACTTTTTATGATGGATGGATGCACTTTTTTGGTCTTAAAAATCTCTTCTTTTTTTTTTAAATAACCCAGATTGTGTTAATCATCATATAAAAAGTCATATACACCTAGGGTGGCTTGAGGATGAGTAAATAATGGGGTAATTTTCATTTTTGGGTGAACTATCCCTTTAATGAGAATTTCAGCTTTGAATATGAATTTCAGTTTTTACTTTATGATACATAAATATACATACAGTGGGGCAAAAAAGTATTTAGTCAGCCACCAATTGTGCAAGTTCTCCCACTTAAAAAGATGAGAGAGGCCTGTAATTTTCATCATAGGTATACCTCAACTATGAGAGACAAAATGAGAAAAAAAATCCAGAAAATCACATTGTAGGATTTTTAAAGAATTTATTTGCAAATTATGGTCGAAAATAAGTATTTGGTCAATAACAAAATTTCATCTCAATACTTTGTTAAATACCCTTTGTTGGCAATGACAGAGGTCAAACATTTTCTGTAAGTCTTCACAAGGTTTTCACACACGGTTTCTTAAAAATCTCTTCTTTTTTTTTTAAATAACCCAGATTGTGTTAATCTGAAAGAAAAAAGTCATATACACCTAGGGTGGCTTGAGGATGAGTAAATAATGGGGTAATTTTCATTTTTGGGTGAACTATCCCTTTAATGAGAATTTCAGCTTTGCTATTCGATTATGGTAAAAATCATATTCAGTTATTTTGATCAATACTGAGATTTTCTACCACAATTACTCACTGACTTTTGGAAACATTAATTTATTAAAAGTTTATATTTATGTCTTTTTATTAATTAATTTTCTTGAACTTTATGTATAAACTGAAAAACAAATTAAAAATAAATGTTAAAAATAGATACATTTTCTTATTGTTATTTATATATTATATGCACTAACTCTACTTTTTTGTGAGAGCAGCTTTAGTTTGTGAAAACAAGGACCTGAAAGCCGTCGCGCGTTGACTCTTCACACAATATGCACAACCCTTGTAAAAGCGGAATGTCAAAAGCACTTTATGTCATTCAGAAACACACTGACTGATCACTACATCCTCCAAGAGATACAGATACAGACTTGCATAAAGTATGTCTAAACTTTATGCATTGTGAGCATCAGACAAGTAAAGATCTTTTATAAAACACTCAACAAAACAACTGAGGCAAAACGTGTCAAAGGCCCACATTGCACAACCCTCTCCAGGAAAACGCTGTCCCTTCAACAGTTCAATTTCCATCTTAACAAAGCCATACAATATATTGCTGGCTGAGGCGCTCTACATCTTTATAACTCTCAGGTGAATCGAAAACCTCCATTACTGGAGTTGGCGCGTACAGCGCGGTGCATTTCTCAGACATCAGAGGAGAAACCTGGTCCCAGGTGCCCTTTAATCTGCAACAGGTGGCCTTTTAAAAAGCATTCTTAATCACCTGCAGGAGGAGAAAAGGTGTGCTAGTAGCAGCAATGAAAGCCCCCCTTACCCTTCCACCCTCAGGCACTCATGGAGGCTCGCCAGAAGCCCAGCACAGTGGCGTTTTATGGCACATGGCTTTAGAGAGTGGAAACCAAACACTTGAATGGATATAACTGCTGTGTTAGGGTTTCTATAGTAATTAACAAACACAAAGTCATTATTTAAACACACAGTTATGTGCACACAACTAATCATAACCTTCCTATCTGAAAGTTTCCTATAAGATTATTGTATTAAGCACTGAGTCAGCTAATGTTTATCTACCGTTCCTGTAAAGCAAACACCATCAATGGATGGCGGAAAGGGCGGAGAGGTGGGCCCGTTAGAATGTGAAACACAGGATGTGTGTTAAAATGTGTCCGTGCTCATGTGTCTGCGCTTTCCATTACAAATCTCATTCTTCATCCGATTATGCACTTGTTATGGTGCGTCAGGAGAGAAAAACATCTACTTTAACACTGTTGCCGTGGGTTGTTTTTCATGTCTGCGGGTTGAAGCGCCCCCAATAACGTGATATTCAGCCCCTGGAATGCAAATTCTACTGGAGGAACCCCACTGAAAAAAAATTATTTTACCCCCCAGAACGCGATTTTTACAGGGGAACCCCCCTTGAAACGCGCAATTTGACTAGTTTTGAGTAGCAATTGGGTGGGTTTTGTTGTGAAAACCTGGCAACCCTGCTCTGCAGCCGCTTCTTATTCACACACAGCTTCAGCTAATGATGGCAGGGCAAAACAGACCGTTTCGAAAGTGTAATGACGCTTTACCCTACTAGAATTGATGCCAGAAAGTTATCATATTCATAAGTGCAACAAGTAATTTGCATGTGAAAATAGAAACATGCAATTCAGATGAAACATCTGGGCTGATTATAACGTGCACGTTAACTTTCCTCATGAAATGTGTGTGTAGGTCCGACAATAGCATCCACGATGTGTTAAAAAAACACAAAAAAAATACCACAGTGAGCGCAAGCTAGACTAAATTGATTATGTTTTAAATAGTTATTTTTCTAACAAAAACATATCGATTCGCTACAGTAGGCCTTTGTCCCCCCCCCGAATCCGTGTGAGGCACTTTGTATTATGGATGGATGCGCTTTATTTCACTTCTTTTGGACTGATGAACTGCAACATCCGCTGACTGCCATTAAAGAGCTTGGAAGATCAAAGATCATCTTTAATATAACTCTGACTGGATTTGTCTGAAAGAAGAAAGTCATATACTCCTAGGATGCCTTGAGGGTGAGTAATTCATTGGCTAATTTTCATTTTTGGGTGAACTAACCCTTTAGGATAGGTGACCGGTTTAATAAGAGAAACTGCTTCCTGGGCATCATCAGTATTCTCAGTGAAAATAAGAAATTAGTTCTTTGTATAACTCTTGTGTGGAGCAAATGTAATGAATCTTAAGTTTTCTCATTTTAGAGCCTTAAAGAAATAGAATAATTTTAATGCACTACGAAGTTGGTGAAGTAGAAGCCACAAAGAAAGAACTGTTGAACCGTTAACTCCTGCTGTCACTGGATTGAGCAGCTTTAATAAATGTGTCAGTGTTGAGTTAAGCAGTTGGAAAGATTCGTTAAACCGCACACAGATGAACGGATCAGGTCTGTAGTGCCTGTCACAACCACAGTGACAGTTTTTCTTTTTTTTATGTCCGTTTTAATAACCTCAGCCTCCTGCAAAAATCTGGTCAGATACAGTATGAACCTAAATAATAAATTTCTTCTCAATTTCATTTGATCTTTTCGCATTTCGTTTTTTTTCTTTTCTTGTTTGTGTTATACCATACACATAGAACCATAAAATAAAATATAAAAATATAGTAATATAGTTTCTTAAAACTAATTCCATAAAAATCATTATTTATAGACTCGAGGGAAATCAGAACTATTGTCGCTCCCTCAGTTAACTGAGCATCACCCATCATAATCCTCTATTTTACAGTAAGCAAGTTACACAGTTATGCTGTGCAAACTTACCGCCGTCTGAACATCTCGGCAAAGATGCAGCCGACACTCCACAGATCCACAGGAGTAGCATAGCTGGACTGAAGCAGCACCTCAGGAGCACGATACCATAACGTCACCACCTGTACACACACACAAAAATAATTATTAGAAAAATGAATACACCAGATATCCTTATTTACATGGCCTTACTAGCCATTATTGATGTAAACTGGTATAAGACACTCGTCTTTATATTCAGTGACTATTCTTTTAGGCATTGTATTGCATAATTGATTGGAATCACATCAGAATGAAGCTGGCAATGTCCACACGAGCGCTTGTTCAGTCTATATATTCTAGCTCTACTTCTCTACTTCTAAACCGACCTCATTGACCAAACAAATGAGGCTCAAGGAGCCCAGGAAGACTCAGTATGCAGGATACTACTGTTAACAGCTACAGTAGGGAGAGCCTCCAGACAAAACTCAGTGACCCTGCTCCAGGGTGGACAGCTTCCAGGTGCTTTCCCTCCTCAGTGCTCTCTCGCTCTCCTCCCAGTAGGCTCTGGGCCCAGAAACCCCCAGCCTTATCAGCCAAATCAGTCAGGCTTGTGTTTGTAAGCAAAGCCTGGAGCGTATATCAGTGACTCGTATCCTAAAACGTGCAGTGCTCGAGGGTACGCCAGAGGAACTGAAGGAAAAAGGGTCATCCTTATGGAGAAACAGAATGAAACTGACATGAACTTAAGAACTGGTTCAATTCAATTTAGTTCGGATCAAAATCAGATACATTTATACTTATCTTACCATATACAGTAAAAAACTGTAAATGGTTTGACATCATACAGTCATGGCCAAAAATATCGGCACCCTTGGTAAATATGATCAAAGGCGGCTGTGAAAATTAATCTGCATTGTTAATCCTTTTGATCTTTTATTTTAAAAATTCACAAAACTCTAACCTTTCATTGGATAATAAGAATTTAAAATGGGGGTAAATATCATTATGAAATAAATGTTTTTCTCTAATACACATTGGCCACAATTAACGGCACCCTTTTATTCAATACTTTTTGAAACCTCCATTTGCCAGTTTAACAGCTCTAAATTTTCTTCTATAATGCCTGATAAGGTTAAAGAACACCTGACAAGAGATCAGAGACCATTCCTTCATCCAGAATCTCTCCAGACCCTTCAGATTCCCAGCTCCATGTTGGTGCTTCTCCTCTTCAGTTCACCACACATTTTCTATGGGGCTCAGGTCAGAGGACTTGGAATGGCCATAGCAGAAGCTTGGTTTTGTGCTCCGTGATCCATTTTTGTGTTGTTTTTGAGGTTTGTGTTTGGATTACTGTACGGTTGGAAGATCCAAACATGACCCATTATAAGATTTTTAACAGAGTCAGTCACTTACTGATTTTTTTATCTGTTGGTATTTGATAGAATCCCAGACCCTTCAGATTCCCAGCTCCATGTTGGTGCTTCTCCTCTTCAGTTCACCACACATTTTCTATGGGGTTCAGGTCAGAGGACTTGGAATGGCCATAGCAGAAGCTTGGTTTTGTGCTCCGTGATCCATTTTTGTGTTGTTTTTGAGGTTTGTGTTTGGATTACTGTACGGTTGGAAGATCCAAACATGACCCATTATAAGATTTTTAACAGAGTCAGTCACTTACTGATTTTTTTATCTGTTGGTATTTGATAGAATCCATGATGCCATGTGTCTAAACAAGATGTCCAGGACCTCCAGCAGAAATATAGGCCCACAACATTAAAAAATACAGCAGTATATTTCATTGTACACATGGGGTACTTTTTATCCCTCTGTTGACCAAACCCATCTTGAGTGTTTGCTGCTGAAAAGCTAATTTTTTATTTTCATCTGTCCATAGAAGCCAGTCCCATTTGAAGTTCCAGTCGTGTCTGACAACTGAATATGCTGGAGTTTGTTTTTGGACTAATTTGTGAAGCTCAATTATCTTTTGCTGCACATCAGAAATACATTCTGTTTTTTTTCATTGTGATGGATGATTATTGGAATTTGGGCTTTGTTTTCCATCCTATTTATATTTCTGTGAAACAGGAAGCCATGGCTGGATAATTTCATGTTCATAATCACCCTGGAGTGCTCAAACTTGTGAATATTAATGGGAATATACTTCAGAGATATTTTACTCATAATAATTTCTAGGGGTGCCAATAATTGTGTCCAACGTGTATTTGAGAAAAACATTTATTTCATAATGATATTTCTCCCCATTTTAAATTCTTATTATCCAATGAAAGGTTAGATTTTTGTGAATTTAAAAAAATAAAAGATCAAAAGGATTAACAATGCAGATTAATTTTCACAGCCGCCTTTGATCATATTTACCAAGGGTGCCGATATTTTTGGCCATGACTGTATATGTAATTTTACTGTAAAATACTGTCAAATGTATGGATTTTTCAAGTAAAAATTGACTGGTTTTGAACAGCTAAAATAACTGGAACCAGATGATACCAGAAATCTTGCATATTTAGATCTAAGGTAAAAAATACATTATAATCGATATAAATGTATTAAACCTAATCCTGAATTAAAATGTTCTTTCAATATAACATCTTAGGGTCTTCAAGCTACGGTCAAAATGCCCAACTACAGACACAACAGTGAATCCGTTCTAGACGATGACTACATTGTCAGCTTAAATTGAATGCAAATCATTCTGATTCAGTATGTAAATCATTCTAATTCTAAAAGCCAATGACTCATTCATGTTATAATGGTTGCGGTACAAAATACGTTCACGTTTTTCGTATGTATAACAGACTATATTTAGTGAGGGGACCGCATGTGATATGTTGACGTGTTTTCGTTTAAGTCTTCCTGGTTTAGTGGAAATGGGGAGGAAGTTGAAGGTGAAATAAAAGGATGAAGCATTTTGGCCTCTTTGTTGCCATGTGACCACAGTAAAAGTACATAACATATTCTAATATAGATTCTTCTGGGGAATTTCACTTCATTACGAAACTGGTTTTGTATTTAAAAGACTTTTAGAAGTCCCAGATCAGACACATATTGACTCTAACCAGTTGACTCCGACTCAAATTTGTTTACTAGCATAAAAAAACACTATGATAAGGACAGTATAAAGTTTATATTGGCTCATTTAAATGCCTCCTACAACATTAAACTCTAAAGACTTCTAAAAGCCCATTCTGATTGAGTCAAACAAGAACAACCATTTCAGAAGACAAGTCTGCAAGCCCAATCTGATTCTATCATCTTAAATCCAAATATTCTGGCCCAGCTGAGCTTTTTAACTGCAATGAAACAAACTCTAAGCTGCTGTCTTATCTAAATGTGCGCTACCAAAGTAAAAAAAAGAGGGTACGCTGCTTGACTTCTAGGAAGAACCACATACCGCCACTAACTGATGTTCAAGCTGAAGTATATCCGCTTGTATGACAGTGTTAATAAAAGGCCACACCGCAAGCATACACACGCACTCGCTGGCACACACAGCATCTCCACTAGCTAGCTGCAGCTTAGCAAAGGTTAAGATACACTGCAGTGATTAAACACTGTAAACCCTCAAAAGTACAAGACGAACTGACTGATAGCACTTCAGAATTATTGTAGCAAGGCGCATGATAAAACGCAATGCATTCTTAAAATGTCAGAATGCATGCAAGAGCCGTTATTTTCTTCGATGTTTCTCTCATGTGTGATACTCGAAGATGGCAACAGCCTATGACATTTACCCCCAGAGTTTCTCGGTCAATCTGGCACATACCACAGTCTGCATCATGACACCAATAGTAGCACACACGACAGTGTACTCACATCACCTCAGCTCACGTCAAACACAGAATGTATGTCAGAGAGGCTGTATCCTATGACTTCAAAGAATATGCATGTAGCTTCTGACGTAAATTAACAAAGATTCGCAGAAAAAGAACCGCTTCATCGTCATATTACCATTATTTAACCAAAATGACAGAGAGACTACTGTACACGTAAGATGCAGCAAGTTGAAAGCAAAGCAAGTTATGCAAGTCTTGGAAGTTTTAATCTGAGATTAACTCGTTTCATCCTGCGGGTAACTAAATAAAAAAAGTTCTACCAATCTATTATCAGTATTTTTAGGTGCCTAAAGATGTTGCATACAATAGACAACTTTTGGAAGAGCTTTTGCACAAGTTGCTCAATGTGGTGCTGTTGAATTTATGCTGCCATTTTCTGCTGTCACAACTGGCATTTTTAGTGACCATCAATATATATAAGCATACTACCATTAAAAAATTTAGGTCAGTAAGATGTTTTATGAATATTTTTTCAGCAGGGACACATTCAATTGATCAAATGTGGCAGAAAAGACATTAATAATGTTACAAAAGATTTCTATTAAAAAAAACGCTGTTCTTTTGAATTTCCTATCAAAGAATCATAAAAAAGAATGTATAAGGGTTTCCACAAAAATATTAAGCAGCACAACAGTTTTCAACATTGATAATAATAAGAAATGTTTCTTGAGTACCAAATCTGAATGACTTCTGAAAGACTTGTGACACTGGAGACTGGAGTAATGGCTGCTGAAAAGTCAGCTTTGCTATCGCAGGAATAAACTAATTAAAAATATATTCAAATAGAAAACAGTTGTTTTAAATTGCAATAGTATTTACAATATTACTGTTTTTACTATGTTTTGAACAAATAAATGCATTGAGCACAAGAGACTTGTCGACCAATCTTACCATCCCCAAACTCCAACGGCCTTGTCCGTGAATATTTCAGGGTATTAATGGGATACCATTTCATCTTTGGATATGGTTTGCTTTTTATTTGATCACATATAATAGTTGCTTTGAAAAGAATGCCCTTTCAATGAAAAGATTCAAGTCTGTATACTTTGGATTGAACATGAATACATGGTAGCATTTAAAGTTTCTCTCTCTCCTCCTCTCTAAGTTTCTAACCGTGCTAGTGGTTGTGAGACAGGGTAGCCTACAGAGGTTTTTCCTGAAACTGGCCGCTAATAAAAGGGTCAGATAAAGCAGCTCTGGCTGACTCCAGATTAAAAGAGAGCATTCTGTGCATTCCTATCTGGTGAGACAGTGTGGGCCCTCTCAGCACGAGGGAAACCAAGAAACTCTTC